CTCTCCCACTCCCCCTGCTTGTGTTCCTGCTCTCGCTGTGTCTCTCTCTGTCAAAAAAATAAATAAAATCTTTAAAAAAAAAAAGTTTCTTTTTTAAGAAATCCCAACATGTTAACTGAATAAAAAGACAAAGGACTTGTTCTACACCCAGTTCTGGCTAGCTGTGGGGTTTGGTGCTTCCCTGGAGACCACATCTGGGGTTGGCAGGGGGGTGAAGCCCTAGGCCAATGGAGAACCAAGTATGGCAGCCGGCGAATCAGTCTCTGACACTGCTGTGCACGATTAGTGTGACCTGAAGCAGCTGCTCAGCCTCTCTGAATCTCAGTCTCATCTCTCCCAGCAGGGTGATTTTGAGGATAAAACTAGACAATTTATATAAAGCATCCAGCTCAGGGCCTGACACATAGTAGGGGCTTAGTAAATGGGTAACAGTATTGTGTGTTGGGCACCTACTTTAGATTAGGTGCTATGGATTCCAAGAAAATGGGATCCTTCCCCAGGTTGCTCGCTGCCAGTCAGGGGAGACAGACAGACAGACTGACAGCCCCCCCTCGGTGAGCATAGTGGGATAAGCTTTGTTAGATGGGCACATTCTGCGGCAGCACAGAACAGAGCTCAACAGGCTTCTCTTGCTGAGGGAATCAGACAAGGCCTCATGGAGGTGACTTTTGTCTGCACCTTGAAGGAAGAGTAATACCAAACAGAGGAATTGGGGAGGGCATTTGAGACAGGGAATAGCAGGTGGACAGAAGGAAAATAGCCTTTGCTAAAGCAAATTCTTTGTGTAGTATCCTGTAGGAGGAGGTGCTGAGGGAGGGGTGGAGGCCTGGGAGATGGGGGCGGTGCAGAAGGCAGAAGGTTGTGATGTTCACTCGGAAAGCTTGGACTTTGTCCTAGAGACCAAGGGGAGTCATGGGTGGGTTTTAAAGAGGGCAGACACAGGCTGTGGAGTGGAGACTGGAGGCAGGGAGACCAATTAGGAGGTGGCAATGGACAAGGTGTAGAGGGGTCAGGGCTTGAGCTGGGACCGTGCCACGGGAAGTAGAGTAGAGGAGTAGAATCTTTCTAGGAGGTAGAATGGGGGGTTTGGGGTTTCGTGGATGTGGGAAGGCTGGAGTGGGAGGGAGGGAAATCGATGACTTACAGGGTGTTGGGCTATGGAGGCACCCTTTCCTGAGTTGGGGAGCCCTGGGGGGAAAGACAGGTTGGGGAGAGGATGGTAACTGTGTGAGAGGTCCAGTGAACTACCAGAACTGAGCTGGAGCAAATCTGAAGATCATGGGCATCTAGACAGTGGGTGATTGAAGCCGCAAGTATGGCAAAGTTGTATCTTAGATGTTGTAGGACTAGATTTGAGTGTGACTGACAAGAGGCCATGGTGTCAGGAGAGTTCATCAGAGGCCAAAATCTGGGCCCCAGGGGAGTTAGGTCAAGATAACAGTGACACTAGTTTTCTCTCATGTGAGTCAAGTCCAGCAGTAGAGTCCATCCCTATTACAGCAGCTCCAAGGTCACTTAGGACCTCCTCGTCTCTTACTGTTCTGCCATCTTATCACTTGACTCCTACTTCATGATTTCCAAGCAACTCAGCTCCTGTCGCATCACTTGTACTCTAACTGCTGGGAAGGGAGATGGGGTCATAAGGACACACACCTTCCCTTCAGAGACACTTCCTGGAAGTTGCACTTCTGCCGACCTCTCATTGGCCAGATTTTAATCAAATGGCCACACCTAGCTGCAAGGATGATCCTTCAGTTTCTTGGTCATTCTTCCTGGTGACCGTGTGCCAACTGGAAATCAGAAGTCCTATTACCAAAGAAAAAGGAAAGAATGGATCTCTAGAGCAGCGTTTCTCAATGGGGGGCCATGTTGTCCTCCAGGGGACATTTGGCAACATCTGGAGGTATTTTTGTCACTGTTAGGAGGGTGGAGGCCAGGGATGCTGCTAAACGTCCCATAATGCATAGGACAACCTCCACAACATTTGGCCCAAGATATCAGCGGTGCTGAGTTTGAGAAGCCCTGGCCTACATGGACAATTTCTAGTCTCATTGCTGTAACCAGGACAGCATGAAGAGTGAGGGGACTAGTCACTTGTGGCCACACAAGACACCTGTCCTGGGCAGGCCACAATATTAGGGGAGTTCAGCAGCTCAGACCTAGGCTCTGGGGGTTTGTTTGGGTTTTTTTTGTGGGGGGGGGTTGTTATATTTGCCCCAGCTTGGAGGGGCTCCTGCCCTCACAGAAAAGGAAAGAAGCTTTGTTTTGTTTGTGCCTCTTTGTTTCATTCATTTCTTTATATTGGGCTCTGAAGTGCAGAGGGAACCCTGAGGGGAGGACTCTGAGGGAAGGGGCTTATTTAACACATGGGCATTTCTTTGCCCACCAGCCACCGACTTGGCCGCTAGTGGGGGAAAAAGCTCCATAGTCTGGCCCCCCATGGCCAGACTCTAGTTCAGTCCCTTATTTATAGTGTGATACAGTTAGACCCTTCCCCCAGCCTCCTGGCCACAAGCCAGGGCTGGGTGGTCAAGGAGAGGCCCCTGGCCCTGAATCTGCAGAGATGCCAGGGCGGCTTTTCTGGCTTTGCCCATAGTGCTGGGCTGGGCCTTTCTGTGCTTCCTCCCTCCCAGGCAGCCTTCCAACCAAGTCAGCATTTCTGGGCCCCTCCCACCTTCATTTCCTTCCCGGACTGTAGCCTTGGGTCTGAAGGGAAGCAGACCTGCCCCAGCTGGGGCCAATGCCAGGCCATGCTGAGGCTGAGGCCTGTGGGTCCCCAAGGTCCCTGAGACGTGGTACAGCCGAGAGAATGCCTATCAGTGGGATGGTGGTGGGGGAGAGTGTGAACAGCTCTGTCTCTGGGGAGGGCTAGGGGAAAGAATAGCCCCCAAGCCAGTCTGAACTGTTGGGGTCCTTACTGCGGATGAGCAAAGGTCTCCCCCAGGCCAAACAACACCCACTCTTATCTGGCTATAAAAGGCTCCCTGAAAGGAATTGGTCTGAGAATGGCCCACTGGACCTGGGCTAGGGTCAATCCCTACAATGGGTCTGGGAGGCAGGGTCTCCACAAGCTCAGGAAGGGTTAAGCTCCTACCTTCCAACCTGTTTCTGGAGGCCCAGAGGGACTCTGGAGGTTTTCAGCATTTTCAAATATCTGAGTTCTTCAACGGGACTGGTGATGGATTTGATTGGTGGCACAGACCTTCTGCCGCATGACCTCTGACAAGTTGCCTGACCTCTCAGCTCCTCAGTTTCCTCATCTGTTCAATGAGAAGAATAATGCCCAGCTGAGAGTTGTGAGGATTCATCTGGATAGTGCCTGGCCCACGGGGGGCACTCAGGAAATAGTAGCTGCTCCTCTCATCATTGTATCATCACACTGTCTCTCAGGAGAGCCTCGCTTCTCCTCATCAGAAAGTCCTTCCCCGAGCCACCACTCTAATTCTTTTTTTTTTTTAAGATTTTAAAAAATTTTTATTTATTTATTTATTTAATTTATTTATTTGACAGAGAGAGACACAGCGAGAGAGGGAACACAAGCAGGGGGAATGGGAGAGGGAGAAGCAAGCTTCCTGCGGAGCAGAGAGCCCAATGCGGGGCTCGATCCCAGGACCCCGGGATCATGACCTGAGCCAAAGGCAGACGCTTAACGACTGAGCCACCCAGGCGCCCCGCCACCACTCTAATTCTTAGCATGCAGAGTCTGCAGTGGGAGCCACCTCAGGAACCTGCATTTTACAGATGAAGGGACCAGGGAAGAGACTTGCCCAAGGTCACAGAGGAGGGTCAACCAGCTGGAATCCATGAGCAACATTCTTCTCCCGCTCTCCCAGGGCTCTCCCGCCACTCAGGAAATAGGCCCAGTCTTTCCATGTTCACCCTTGTTGGCAAGAGCTCCAAAAGGCTGTTTTCCTTCTGTCCAGTTCAGTGTTGATGGCTGCAATCAGGAAATGGGGTGATGGGATGTCCTTCCCTACGTCCTCCTGGTGTGGGGCGGCAACCTCACAGGGCTGGGCTTCCTGAGATACAGCTGTGGCAGCAACTGAAGGAGCTAGCATCATCTTTAGCAATCAGTTTTACAAAGTCAAATACTGAGAATGGGGTGAGAACGGAGGAGAGATGGGGCAGATGTAAGGAAATGAACTTTTTTTCCCCCCAGCAGACAATGAATAGAGTTATTCTAGGCTGGATACATCAAGAAACAAAGACATTAAACATACTATCTGCAGTCAGGGAGAGAAGTCACAAAAAGTAAAAATCACTACTACAGTGGTACCTCTGGGCAGTGGTTCTGGAGGTGGGAGAATTTAACTTTTGATACTTTTCATACTATTTGAATTGTTATCGTTCAGTATTATTATTTGCTGTATGTGTATGTTATGCCTATTAATAAAATAGTTCATGCCGAGCTCAGGCAGGGGCTACGTGGGCAAAGATGCAGTGTGACTTTTTTTGTCTCTAGACTCCTTGGATGTGAGTCCCTCAGGAAGTCCTTGGTCAGGCTAAGATGGAATTCTGTGTCAGTCAGACTTCAGCTGGGCCCTCCCTCCCGGCCCCCTCAAAATCAGTTAAGATTGTCTCCAGGAAAAGAAAAAGACAAAGACTGGCTCTAAGACTGTTCCACCTAGAAAATTCAGTTATCCTTAGAAAAAGAAAAAACTCCTAACTCACACCACATACTCTAGATTGGAGTGATGGATCAAGAACTGCAAAGTTAAACCTGAAAACCTTTAGAAAAAATAATGGTATCTTTCTGATATTTTGCTTTGTTACAATGAAGAACTTCTCATCAAAAGACATCTTGAATAAAGTGAAAAGACAAACTGGGAGAAGAGAAATTATTTTATATAACCAAAGGATTAGTATTAAGAATATATAGGAAGGGGGGCGCCTGGGTGGCTCAG